TAGAGCGGCCAGATGGGGAGGATGCGCGACTTAGTAGCATCCACCAGAGACAGCAGGATTTTCAGCCCTCGGCGCGGGTGGGCTGCGGGGTTTTGGCGAATCAGGCGCAGCGCAGGGCTCCTGCTCAGCGCCTGTGTAGACGGGAAAGCAAGACGTGCCGCTCCTCCTGTGACACTGCGCAAGTTGTGTAAGGACAGCGCAGTGCTTAGGTAGAACACTAAACTCTATCTCAACTCTGCCCTGGTAGGGAGAGGTTTGATCTATACCAGGCAGCTGAGGGGGACGGCCAAGAGCATTTCGATTAGGGAAGTACTGTCAGTACTTACTTTTTGCAGGATTGAGCCCAGCACCTCTGGGCTCCCGGCCTCGGCTTCTTGGCCATCCTTACGGCTACACTGCTGCTGACGGCAACTGTGGTTTCGGAGTGGGCTGTTATTTCGACGGCCCAGTTGCTTAGCAAGGGCTGAAGTAGACTGTAGTACCTTAAAGGAGCTGCAACTTACCCCGCTGCCAGGTTGCCTGTACCAGAAAAAGTCCAGGTTTAGGCTGGTAGTAGTTAATAACTGCTAGCCACATGTGGATCTGAACTTGATCTTTTTCCTAGTATAAATGCAGAGCTTCATCTTAATTTTAACTGATCAGGATTAGTATTGGCATCTGTAAAAGAGCAAGTATTAGGAGGGACGGTTTTGTGCATATATACCCCGCTGCCAGGTTGCCTGTACCAGAAAAAGTCCAGGTTTAGGCTGGTAGTAGTTAATAACTGCTAGCCACATGTGGATCTGAACTTGATCTTTTTCCTAGTATAAATGCAGAGCTTCATCTTAATTTTAACTGATCAGGATTAGTATTGGCATCTGTAAAAGAGCAAGTATTAGGAGGGACGGTTTTGTGCATATAGTAAGTTAAATGGGTTCTTCCCCGTAATCAGTCCTTTTATACACAATTATTCCCTCATCTCCATCCATATGCATTTTCCTTGGTCCCATGCCCTATAACCTCTTACTGTCTTAACCAGGTAGGGAAGCAGTCCCACAGTGAAAGTAATTCAATCTGCAACAGGCACAGCAGAGAAGACTGTAACAGTTTGTTTAGAACAGCAGTTCTCAAACTTTTTGGGCTCTAGAGCCCTTTACATGCATAAAAATGTATGCAAAGCCCCAGTGGTCCACTGATTGTGTGTGTTGTACCTATCGCTGTTTCCTGTTTGTAAACCTCGCAGAGCCCCTGGAGATGTAGTTTGAGAAACACTAGCTTAGGATATCCTATTCACATACAAAAAGGAACCTGGCTTGGAAAAATAGTGGTCAGCGTACTAGCCTAGAACTTGAGTTCAAGTCTCTGCTTCACTGCTGAGGAAATTAAGATAAATAAGCTGAGGACTGCAAAGCATTCATACTATGGTACATAGACTACATAGAAATGGGGACTCAGAATCCATTCTCTTCTCTCCTAACAGAATGGGTCTAAAGTATGCCTTTACCCCTCTGGGGTGAGCTGGGAAGACTAGTCATATAGAAGACAGCTCTCACCGAAGTACAGCTAGAGGCACAGGCCCAACTATTCTGTGCTCAACATCATGCCATATTAAGGTCACAATGCACCAGTGTGTTCCCTCTACAACAGGCATGTCAAACCCGAAGCCTACTGAGGGCTGCATAAACAAAAACTAATAGCTTTCAGGGCCACCAAAGAAAATGTACTGCTATTGGAAAGTCATAATTATTTATTATTAGAGATTATGTTTTAGGTATATTTTATAATTTTTCAGGTCTTGTTTTAATATAATACAATCATTTCATGTGTAAAATTATTTGCCCATATAAAATAATTTATAATTTAAATATAAATTTAAGGTACTCTTTAAATTTTTAATATGATACGTAACTTGTTTTGTTGAAATAAAAAGAATAGACCATGGTTAATCAAATAGAACAGGCTTCTGTGAAAATTTCAGATACTTTGTAAGTTTGAGATTTTGTATAAACATCCATGCAATTGCAAAAAAATGACATTTATTGATATAAAATTAATATACATTTTGTGATTTTATTTGGGATTAAATAAATACTTAACAAAATATCCCCTTCCTCCCCCAGAGCCAGGCACTACCATGCCCCTGTTCTAACCCAATCCCGGTCCTCTTTCCCAGAGTGCCCCCTACCCCACCAACCCAATGCCTCATCCCTCCCCCAGCGCCAGCCACCCCAGCCTCATCCCTTCCCCCCCCAACCTAATCCCGGGGTCTCAGAACCAGGCACTCCCAGCCTCCTCCTTCCCCTCCCCCCAACCTAATGCCTGGGTCGCGGAGCTGCTGCCACCCCACATTTCTTCCTCAGGTGCTGGGGTGGCGTGAGCAGGCACTTTATGCCTGTGCAGAGTGGCCAACCGGGCTGTGAGCAAGTGCTAGAGTGCAGAGAGGCCTGGCTGACCATGAGCAGTCACTGCAGTGCCATGCGCAGAGCAGCTGGCTGACTGATCTGCAAGCGGCTACGTGCTCCAAGCAGCCAGCGAGCCACACACTTTTATTCTTTTATAAAATGCAGTGGCGGGCTGCAAAAAAATTTGATCATGCCGCATTCGGCCCTCTAGAGTCCTGATCTACACAAACAATAAGGATTAGTGTAACCCCCGCTATCTAGAATGTGTCTACACTGCATTCCTCTTTCAAGAGAGGCATGCAAATGCAGCTGAGCGAAATTATAAATGAAGCGAGGATTTGAATCTCCCACGCTTCAGTTGCACAATTGCACCCCGGCCCTTTTTCAAAATAGCATTTGTTCTTTCGAAATAGGGTGTCTCAGTGGGGTTATTTTGAAAAACCCCTTCTTTCAAAATAACTCTTACTCCTTAAAAACATTGTTTAAAGGTTATTTCGAAAGAAGGGTTTTTGTTTTTTTTTAATAACCCCGCCTAGACTGCGTTTGTTCTTTTGAAATAAAGTATTTCGAAAAAGTGCCCAGCCACCATGATGCAAATGAAGCACGGGAAATTCAAATATGAGCTTCATTTGTAATTTTGCTCAACTGCATTTACATTCCTCTCTCGAAAGAGAAATGCAGTGTAGGCATACCCTTAAGTGGGACTCACTGTCCCATGGAGTGGCACTTCACAGAGAGAGATAAGAACAAGGGAGTTCTATAGCCTAAGCTGAGAGCCAGGTAGCTTTATAACTCAAGTTGTAGAGGATCCTATACTGAGTTCCTGAGATACCACGTTCAAGTCTGTCCAATACCATAGGGGGCTGATTGATGAGCGTTTATTCATATAAAATGATCCCTTTGAAGTCAATGGTATCTATCAAGTACTTGCTCTTCTATGAGTGTATATATATTTAAGTTATGTGTATAGATATTTCAAAGTGATCAAATATATATTTAAATATCAAAAACCAGTATTTTTTACTAAGGATTAAGTTCATCACAAGCAGACATTTCATGTATTAGCCCTTCATAATAAAACATTTTTACCAGCTGTGTAACTGCAAAATGCTCAGAGAATTAAAAACTTGAAAACTCCTCCATAAGTGGGTTGTAAATGATAGAGAAAATTAAAACTCATAAGCAGGTAATACATACATTTTTCTTGTATTGCTATATTGTCACTAGAAAGCAATGAAACTGTAGCCTTAATATAAATATTGTGAAATAAAATGGAAACATTTGGGGTTACTCTCAAAGGACTCAAATTATTTCTCCCCATTCTATACAAACTTCCAGTTTTCCGGGGGAAAAAAACACACATGCACAAATGGCATGCCTATTCTGAGTACATTTTCAAGTATCTAATATCACATTTAATAAAATACCCAAATATTCTTTATACTGGGGTAGAGGTCTGGATTCTCCCTTGTGGATTCTGAGGGAGGGAGAGGAGTTACTTTGTGTTAACACAGTGACACTCAGTCTGAGGTTAATGGGTCTCCTAAAGCTCTTGATAACACATTGAAATACTGTGTGATTTACTTATTAACCAGTCAGAAAGCTTTTACTACGTTAACAACAGTAGTTGATAAAATAGAGATGGGCAATAATTTTTGAAGCGGGAGAACTTCATGAATTTCAGAAGTGGTCTCAGGAGGAAAGGGCAGGGCCAGAGACTTCACATGCTCCCCCACCTGCCCACAGACATTGATTAGCCTGGGAATGGGGAAGTGCATGAAGTCTTTGCCCTCTCTGCCCTCACCCTGCCAGGGGTACATGGCACTTAGAGAGAACCACCAGTCACCAGGGAACAGCTGGCAGTTCTCTCTAGGCACCACACATGGCATGGCAGGAGGAGACTTCAGATGCTCACATGCCAATCAGGACCTGGGATTGCAAAGTCTTAACCCCTTCCCCTTCCCTCAACTTCCAGGGGCACACAGTGCCTAGAGAGAACCGCCAGCTGTTTTGAACAGCTTGCAGTTCCCTCTGGTGCTGTACACTCCTGGTGGGAGGTTGGGGCGTAGGAGACATCAAAGGGCTTGGTGGGCCAAATCCAGCACATGGAGGTTGTTTTGCCCACCCTTGTGATAAAATAATAATACTTGGTCAACCATTTTTCTGTGAGAACATAGCTAAATATTCCCCCATCATACTGTTAAAGTATAAATGTTTTCATGCAATTGTATCTCTTCAGTAATGCATATTGCTAATTTGACTCCTAAACCATTTTGGCCTGAGTATTGGCATATCTTCTCTTCAAAAGGGTCTGCATTTAACTAAGGAAGATTAGATGGTATGCCTTTTTTTTAAGTCAATTGACATTACTGTAACTTAGTAGTGAACTGATCTGCCACTTGACAGCACCTACAAGTTGTTTCTTTCAAACTATTCACTGGCTGTCTGGTAACTAGAAATACATTTAGTCTAATATAGGTCATGTGATGTCCCATTGCAAAATCACTGTACACAAATTCACATATCAAGAATCATATGGCAAAGTTTATCCTATAGCAAGAAGGGACTGGAAATATTGCAAACAATTTTTCAATGAAAATAGGCTATGTTAGACAATTTTATTGAATTAACTTCCTTTTATTGCAGTGACCCTTGTACAAAGTAGTAACTGCAATATTCAATGTTAAAACATTAGAAAAGCATGTGTGACAGTTACAGTACAGTATTATCAAAATACATTTTCAAACCAGTGGATAACTAAATACCCACCCAAGCTCAAATCTTTAAATTATTTCCATAGTTCACTTTTAAATATGTAATGTCAGAAAAGCATATAAAAAGAATGTATGTAAAAGTAAAGAAACCTAAATACAGTCAAACATAAATGAACTCAAAATAAATAACTGATTACCTCAGATACTATTGCTCTTTCTAAATCCATAAAAAGAAATTCCATCTATAGAAATAATGCAATTGTCATGTGTCAATGAGAAACTTTATATTTCAAGTCATTAACAATGATTGGAACATTAAAAAAAATTTCGCTTCAAAAATCAAAGTTCATATAGATTAAATAAAAATTAGAATGACATATGACTAGTTAACATCTGCTGCTCACAATTACCAGTAACTGTTGACATTTATTAGAGTTTTATAATAAATCTTGAAACTGTTGATCTGGTGTCTAGTGTTAGTGAAGTTTCTCAGAGTGCATATGTGAAAAGCATCCTACATTATTTCACAGGCTACAATTCCCTCCCCATCCCCAAATGCATATTTAGATATATTTTATATATTTTTATACACACCGATGCATGTATACACACACACACACACACACACTTCATTTGGTTCCTGCATTACAGATAACAAGCAATGGTTTCCTGAATGGGCAAAACTTTAAATAAGTGTACCTGTGCACATTTTCAAGATAGCAGCACTAAGTTCATGCCTTATTTTCCATTTGTTTATAAACAAAAAAGAACAAAACATGGCAATGATTCCATGTTCATTGAATAATGCAACATCCCTATCACCTCAACAAGCATTGCAAAACCTGTAACAGACACAAGGATACTGTTAGTTACAATTTTTTTCTTTCTGTAAGTAAACCACTTTTATTAGAATGAGTTTGATTACAAATTGTGTCTTAACAAGGCCCAGATTAAAATTTATTTACTTTGTATTTGGCAGCAAAACATGCTGCCTTAAAAGACAGAAACAATTTAACTGATTCAGATCCAAAATTGGTAACAAAACCAACTGCAAGACTATTTTGTCACTTACCAATGACCTGAGTACACCATGCACTTTGGAGAAAGTCAATTGTAACAACTTCAAGCTGTATCTTTGTCACAATGACTAATAGCTTTGTCCTTCAAAAGGAAGTATTGCTTAGCATTAAATATAATGCTGTATTCGGCATAAAAATATACAATTTTCTATGGATCATCTTCAATGAAAAAAAAATCATTGAAGCACTAGCAACGTGACCCTGTAACATGCCCAATACTACGATCTAGAAGTTGTGAAATGTTTTTAGGCAATCCTTTTCTGAAAAAATACATAGGAATTTAAAAATAATTCACATTACTCACCTTTGTACAAAGACTCAAGCAAAGTTTTATTATTTAGGTGTTAGAAGACTAAATTAGAAAGTAGTCAAAAACATACACTGGAAGGGCACACAAATTGGCAGTTTTTATTAAACATGAAAAAATGTGTAAAGTATAAAGTATAATGTATGAAAGTCTAAATTTCTAGATTAAGCCTGAGTATTTATTAATTAAGACTAATTGTAATGTCTGACATCTGAATGAATTGACCTAAAAACATCTCCCCTAATAACTAGTGGTCCATTTAACCATTTGATGAAAGAATGGATCAGAATTGTAGGTTTTATATTGGATGGTGTAGCAATATTCTACATAGTGTTTACAGTATTCTGTTAGATAGTATCACATTGCTCGTATTTGCTCCTTAAGCCTTAGGTTCACACTTTTTTCAAATAAACTAAACAACACCAAGAGATCTGAAGGCTAAGAACTAAGACCAGTTCTTTTTATAAACTAAAATAATTCAAAGCTATCTTCAGCCTACAATAGGAGTACAGCTTCATATTAAATCTAGAGTAAAGACTGATACACTAACCTTCACCAAGGTAGCCGAAGTCATATGCATCTCACATTTTGAATGGAAAGAAGGGCACTATGTCAAATCTGGGAAAAGAATCCTCCCATCATTTGTCTAGCATAATTAGCTTTAACGGTACAAGTTTAGTGATAGAAAGTCTTGGGACAATAACATTATAATTTTTTTTTTATTCCAACTGACCTCCCTACCTTTGTTTCAAATCCAACAGATATTAAAAAATTCTGAATAGAAAAAAAAACATACAGTACTAAAAATAACAACTTGATGGAAGACTGAAAAGCAGCATTCTTTTTATTGTAAGATGGAAGAGACCAGAAAATAAAAGGAAGTTGGTTCTAAGTTGAAGGCAGATTTTGACATTCTATATAAATTTACAAAAGAGGGTGTATGGATGCAGTTTGGTTAATTTCAGAAGGCACCTCAAGGCTAAAAGGCTTTTATAAATCTATAATCCTTTCATTGACCAAAAATAAAAAAACACTTTTATTGCTGCTATTCAAGTAGCAAAGAAAAAGCTTATTTTGTTGTTCTTCAGTCTAACAAGGAATCCTCCCCCTTGAAGCAAGATTAAGTTATAGAAGAATTTGAATAAAACTGAAGATTTCACAACTTTAGAAATACAGTGACTTTCCTTGTGTGCTTTCAAGTCAGCGGAATAGTGAAAGAAGAGTCACTTTTTGCCTTTGTGATGTTAATAATCTTCGTCGCTCTCCTCCAGGCACTGAAGTACCATTTAATCACAGCTGCATGTTACACAGTATGTTTAGGAATAGAAGGTAAGAACGCTCTGATGATTCCCACGAACAAGGAGGATTGGTGGCAAGTCTTTTGACAGAGCTTCTAACCAAGCCATGTATAGTGCACTAGATACCGCACCTTTTCGTGCAACTGGCAAACTCCTACAATTTGAAAAACAAAGAAGAAAGCAAATGAAGAATGGTTTAAAAAGTCAGTGGTACTGAATAAATACAAAAATAAAAACTGCAACCTGAACAAAGTAGAAATTATTAATTACTTAATTCTAACCCATTTAATCTTTTTTTAGGCTACATGTAGTAGCAACTCACAATTCTATACGCAAAAAAAGTAATTAGTTCAGAGCCAAAATTGTCCTAAAAATCATCCTCTTCTACACGGACGCAACTGTAACACTAACATCTCAAGGTTCACCTTCATTCTATCCTCTCCTGAAATCTCAGCCTCCACACCAAGAGGAGGGGCCAGAAATCAGCATTCCACTCATGTGGCCTCAAGCAGAATTGTTCTCGCTTAGATATACGTCGTCACTTTTCAAAATCTTGGCCGAGGTGATGCTTTTGCTACAGTCTGCAACAGTCAAATTACTCTGCCTCCCACCTCCTCCAAATATTGGTAGGATCCTTCAACTTCTTCCTGGAAACTGTTCAATCTTTATTTATATTGCTCAAGTTTCATCTTTTTGCTGCTTCAGAAAACACTAAAAACTTACACAGCTTTGTACTGAGAGCATAATGTGTCAAAAATAATTTCTACACTAAAGAGTTTGTAATTCAATTGTACCATTAGTGAAGACAACAGTACAGAAGAGTAGCAATGGAGACAGCTACTATGTAGGCCAGGAGCAGGGAAACTAAGGCCTGTGGGCTGGATCTAGTCCCCCGATGCTCGGGGCTCTCCCCCACAGTGTCAGGGAGCTGGTGCTCCAGCCCTGCAACCTCCCCACCCGGGACTGAAGTGCCAGAACCAGCTTCCTGCTGCAAAGGGTAGGGAGAGCCTCGAGCCTTGTGGCCCAGAGTCACACAAGCGGGGGGTCCAGATCCAACCAATGGGCAGGGGTAGCAAGTGGCTCCTTTACCCCCCCCTTGTCCAGACCCCCACCCAAATTTCACTCCTGCACCTTCCCTCTTGCCCAGACTCTATACCGCACACCCCTCCACACACCCACACACACACACACACACACACACACACACACACACCCTCATTTTTGTCCCCACCCCAGAGCCATGAGGGACCCATAAACTCTACTCTTGTAGGCTCTGGTATGCAAAGGAAACGTGGAGGTTTGAGTCTCATTTTTGTGTGGCCTCCCAATTGATTTTTCTGTGGGTCAGCAGCCCCAGACCCAAACAAGGTTCCCCACCCCAATGTAGGCCAATGGAATACATGGTAACTGAAGAGGGAATACTTTGTGAAAGATCAGTTAATAAGCAGCAGAATGCCTGTGAGTCAAGTCAAATTACAAAACGTTCTCTTTCCAATTCTACCTTGTAGTCCAAAAAAAATGTTACTAGGATAATATATAAAAATAAGTTATACTGTATCTATACATATATAATAAATATAGTAACACTATTACTTTATCACTATCCCAATGGCACAAAACCCATAGAACAGTCTACTTTTACTTACATTACAATTATATTAGCTGTGCTTGAATGTTCTTTCAGCAACTCATTTAGCCTAATCTGGCGGTAGCTCTGTAATTAAAACGGGGGGAGAAACAACCCAAACTTGTTAGGAGGATCTATTCATTACTTCAACAATCCAGAATCAAATACAACTCTCATTTATTTAGGAAAAGCACAAAATTTATTTACTGTGCTGTTTATAAATAGTGTATCCCTCCCTCCAACTTTTAAAAACAGCACTCTGGTTTGTAAAGTAATGTCTTCTCTGTCCAAATTTCAGTCTTTGAAAAAGTTTTCCCAGAGACACTTTCAAGCTAGATGATTCAACTTAATGTTCTCAAAAACTAAAAGCAAACAGGTGAGAGGAAAACTCATCCTAAAAGAGTATCTTTTTTAAAGAGCCCAGATCTTCCATCTCCTTCCTACTTCCCCCATCCTTACTAGACCCACTAAATCAAATGCCGGAAGATCAATCAACAGAGCATCCATCTTCCCTTGAAGTGCAGATGTGGCCTTAGCTCTGCTTCCACAGGTTTTTGAATAGCGGCAGCAGACCTTAACAATTATTAGTCTCCCTAGGTTTAATTTGCTTCTGCAACGTAAGTTGGCTGCAGATTCAGGAAATGAATGCTGTTTGGTCCATACTCATTCAGGTTATCTTTTCATTTATAGTGGTTACTGGTATATCAGTTATATTTACACACAGACAAAAACTATGTTAAAAGAATACTAGGTGCACTGAAAAATTAGAAAATTCTAGATTTTAGATTTCATGTACAATCTGAAGTCAGCCCCCTTGTATATATGCATTATGAAATATTAGTCACATGGCCACATACTATTTTTTCCACTAGACTAGTGTTTCTGAAAGTGCTCCACGAAACCACTTTGAGAAACACACTAACTGGCCGCCCCAATTTGTTTATTTACTGGCGCCGCAGCCATGGAGCCTCACGGCTCCCATTAGCTCCATTTCGCTCTTTGCAGCCAAGCGGAGCTGTGGGAAGAGGTAGCCTGGCCCATGCCACTTCCCCTTAGCTGCAAAGGATGAAACACAGCCAGCGGGAGCCGTGAGGCTTCATGGCCATGGCGCCAGTAAACAAACAAACTGGGGCGGCCAGTTAATGTGTTTCTCAAAGTGGTTTCGCAGAGCACTTTCAGAAACACTGGTCTAGATCATCCCTGATAGATATCTATCTAATCTGCTTTTAAATATGTCCAGAGATGGAGATTCCATAACCTCCCTAGGCAATTTATTCCAGTGTTTAACCACCCTGACAGTTAGAAAGTTTTTCCTAATGTCCAACCTAAACCTTCCTTCCTGAAGTTTAAGCCCATTGCTTCTTTTCCTATCATCAGAGGCCAAGGAGAACAATTTTTCTCCCTCCTCGTGACACCCTTTTAGATACCTGAAAACCCCTATCCTGTCCTCTGTCTTCTCTTTTCCAAACTAAACAAGCCCAATTCGTTCAGTCTGCCTTGATAGGTCATGTTCTCTAGACCTTTAATCATTCTTGTTGCTCTTTTCTCAACCTTCTCCAACTTCTCCACATCTTTCTTGAAATGTGGTACCAAGAATTGGATACAATACTCCAATTGAGGCCTAATCAGTGCAGAGCAGAGCGAAAAACGGAGTTACCTTGTGCAGTAACGTCTGTTATTCAAAGTGTGTCCCCCTGTGGGTGCTCCCCGGGGCCACAGATCAGAGCTTTTTCTAAGTTGCTAGTTGGGTCATGCATGTGCAGCAGGTGTCTTGCGCTGCCAGCAGTTTGACAGTTGAGTGTGGCCTGACCCCCTCGCCTCAGTTCCTCCTCTACCACAGAGCAGACATACTCCGAGTAGCAGGAAGGAAGTGAGAGTTGTTGAGCACCCATGGGGACATACACATCGATGAACAGATGTTACTGCACAAAGTGAGTAACTCCCTTTTCTTCTTCGGGTGATATCCCTATGGGTGCTCCATGTATGGTGACTACCTAGCAGTATCCCGTGCAGTTGGTGGGACTTGGAGTTACTGTTTAATGGCAGCAGACAGAACTGCTGTAGCCACCGCTGTATCGTTTGCCAATTGGAGCATTATTGAATAATATTTAGACAGTGTGTGGTTAGAGGACCACATGGCTGCTCAGTAAACATCTCGCAGAGGCATATTTTTAAAGAATGCCATGGATGCTGCAATAGCCCGAGTAAAATGGACTCTCGGTAGAGTTGGCAGCGGTTTACCAGAGAGAAAATGGCATTGGAGAATGCAAGTCACTATCAATTTTGAAATTCGCTGAAAGGCGAGTCGTAGCAACAAAGAGTCGTGGAGTCTTGTGAAAGCCACAGGTTCTGTCAATGTAAAAAGCCAAATCTCTTCATACATCCCTTGAATGCAGCATTGCCTCTTCAGGCAAAGCATGAGGTCTTGGGAAGAATGTAGGCAAGACAATGGGTTCATTGATGTGGAAGCTTGTGCCGACCTTCGGAAGGAACGCTGGGTGCGGCCTCAAAGTCATTTTGTCCTTACTAAACACTGTATAAGGCAGGCCCTCTGTTAGTGCGCCTATTTCACTGACTCATCTCGGGTAAGTTATGGCTATGAGTAGCGAAAAAGTATACGAAGCCATTGTCTCAAAGGGGGGCTTCATGAGAGCAGTCAATACCAGCTTAAGGTCCCATGTAGGGGTTGGCACCCTATGAGGTGGGTAGAGATTGTGAAGACTTTTGAGGAACCTCCGTGGTAGTGGGTGTGCAAACATGAAAGCCCCCTCAATCCGTTCATGGAAAGCTGAGATGGCAGCAAGGTGGACCCTGATCGAAGAGATGGATAACCCATTCGTCTTCAGGGTGTATAAGTAGTCCAGAATGGTTTGTACTGGAGCTTCATTGGGGTGGACTTATGTCTGCTGACACCAGGAGGTGAAACACCTCCATTTTTGCAGGTAAGTTGCCTTGGTGGACTGTCTCCTGCTGGGTAGTAGAATATCCTTCACCTGTTCAGAACACTAAACTTCATGGTCAGGGCACCCTCAAGGAGCCATTTACGGAGATGTAGCAACTGCGGTTTTGGGTGACACAGCTTGCCTCTGTTCTGGAATAGGAGGTCGCAGCGAAGTGGTAGTGGGTAAGCTGGTTGGAGAGAGAAGTCCTGAAGGGCTGGATACCACATCTGTCTGGACCAAGCAGGGGCTATCAAGACAACCCGAGCACCATGAAGCTGAATTTTGCACAACACCCTGGAAATCAATGGAATTGGGGGAAAGGCATAATATAGTGGTTCATCCCTTGTAAGGAGAAACACATCGCCCTTGGATCCTCTGCCCAGTTCTACTCAAGAGCAAAACTAGGGACACTGTTTGGTGTTATAAAGAGATCCATGATGGGATAAGCCCCATTTGCGGAAGACAATATCCATGACTGCTTGGTGGAGTTCCCACTCATGGTGAATTTTAAAGTTGCGGCTTAGGGTGTCTGCCATAGTGTTGTCGACCCCTGGTAAGTACGTTGCTTTCAGGGTAACATTGTGCCTCACACACCAATTCCAGAGGCGGACTGCCTCTGTGCACAGAGTTCTGGAACACGCTCCCCCTGCCTGTTTATGTAACAGGTAGTGGTTGTGTTGCCTGTAAGAACACGAACTGTGCAGTTGGTTAGGAAGGGTCAGAGTGCCTGTAGGCATTTCTTATGGCCCCGAGCTCCAGAATGTTGATATGTAACAGAGCCTCGTTTGGCAGCCATTTCCCTTTACAGTTTTATTTTGGAAGTGCGCATCCCAATCCAGTAGTGAAGCGCCTGTGGTAATTTGTATGGCAGGTTCCTCCAGTAAAAATGGGATTCCAGTTAAGAGATTATGTGGACATGTCTACCATTTGAGCGACTGCAGTACGTGCTCTGGCACAAGCACCGGTTTGTGCAACAAATGACATGAGGACATGTAAACCAATGCTAGCCAATGCTGTAAGGCATGGGAATGGAGGCATGCAAATTGTACCACATATGTGGTGGCCGCTATGTACCCCAAGAGTTGAAGACAAGTACGGACTGTGGTGGATGGGTTTGTGATGAGGGCAAAAACTAAATCTCAAAGGGTCTGGAACCGTGTTGCAGAAGGTATGCCCTGGCTGACATGGCATCTAGTCTTGCTGCTAAGAATTCTAAGTCCTGGATTGAGTGTTGTTTTCTGTTAGTTGATTAAGAGCTCCAGCAGGCTTAACAGTCACTTGGTCTTTGTTATGTTGATCACTTTCCCTTGTGAACGACCTCTCAGTAAGCAGTCATCGGGTAAGGAGAAATCGTTACCCCCGGTTGTGTGAAGCATGCCGCCACGAGTGCTAGGACTTTGGGGAATACTTGCAGAGCAGATGACAGGCCAAAGGGAAGGACGTGTATTGAAAAAGGTCCCCTCCTGCTGTAAAATGAAGGAAACGTCTGTGTGGTGGATGTATTGCAATGTGAAAATATGCATTTTGTAAGACGAGGACTGAGAACCAGTCCCCTCTGTCCAGCGCTGGTATGATTGTAGCCAGCATAACCATTATGAATCTCTGCTTTCGGAGGAACTAATTTAGTTTGCAGAAGTCTAGGATTGGTCTCCAGTCTCCTGTACACTTCTGGGTCAGGAAATAGGTGGAGTAGAACTCCCTTCCCCGGCATGGTTCAGGAATCTCCTCTATAGCTCCTAGATGAAGAAGCAGGTCGCTTTCTTGTTTGAGGGGTATCTCGTGAGATGGGTTCCTGAAGAAGGATGCGGTAGTGGAAAGGTTATGATGGAGGGAGTTGAACTGAATCTAATATCCCATATGGATAATTTCTATGACCCACTGATCAGATGTTATGGAGGCCCATAATGAAGGAATGAGCGTAATCTATCACCATGATGAAGGAATGAGCGTAATCTATCGTCAAATAGATCGTTCTGGTCTTGTTGCACTGGATGGTTGGGGAGGTTGGGCATGCCCTCGACCAATGTTTCAAATTTGCTACTTCAGGGTCTGGCCACCAGAGGGACGTGGTTGTTGTTTGTGCTACCTCTGGGTACGCTGCCTGATTTGATTCTACTCATATGGTTTGTATTGAGTACAGTTGTAGTACGAGTCCCTGCTTTTATTATAGGAGGTGTAGCACACCTGCACACGTACAGTGGTATGTACATTCCTAGAGTACACAAGGTGATATGCGTGTTTTTGCTGTTGTGCAGAATCTCATCTGTGTTGCTGACAAAAAGCTTCTGCTTGTGGAAGGGGAGATCTTCTGCCTTTGACTGCAGTTCTTTTGGCACCCCATGGCCTGAAGCTATGATGTTCTTCTCATCATGACTCCTGTAGCTATTGTTCTCGCTGCTGTGTCCACCATGTCAGTCACAGACAGCGGTGTTGTATGGGCAGTTGTGTGGCCCGTACATATGACTGCCCTGAGTATGGGCTTCTTGTTATCATGCAGATGCTCCATCAGGTCCGCTAGTTTGGAGTAGCTGTCAAAGTTGCGATTTGCCAGACGTGCTGAGTAAATTGGTTATCCTAAGCTGCAGGGTGGTAGATGAGTAGACCTTCTTTCTGAATTGATCTAGCTTGTGCTCCTTGTTGCCACTATTTGATTTAAGGTAAGGGGCTGCAGTGACAACGGCCAAGGATGGGAGAAAGGGAAATCTAGATCTTTAGGTGGGACGAGATATTTCTTGTCCACCTTTTGCAGGTCAGCTGAGCCAATGCTAGTGTTTGCCAGATGCCTCCAGACACCTCCATAATTGCTTCATCTATGGGCATTGCAATTCTGCCCTGTGATAATGGGTGGATATTCTTCATGAGATCAGGCTGTTTCTGCTTAACCTCCTGACATTTTATTTCTTGTGATGTAACAACCCTCTTAAAAAGATCCTGGAATTGTTCCAGGTCCACTGTCTTGTGATCATCATCCGGGACTATGGAATCCTATGGAGGGGAAGTGGGATAGAGCTAGAAGGGGCCTTCAGAGATCGAGTCCAGCCCCCTGCCCTCATGGCAGGACCAAGTACCATCCCTGACAGATTTGCCCCAAATCCCTAAATGGCCCCCTCAAGGATTGAACTCAAAACCCAGGGTTTAGCAGGCCAATGCTTAAACCACTGAGCTATCCCTCCCCCCGTTGCTTCATCTATGGGCAATGCGATTATGCCCTGGTGATGGGTGGCTATTCTTCAGGAGATCATGCTGTTTCTGCTTAACCTCCTGACATTTTATTTCTTGTGATGTAGCAACCCTCTTAAAAAGGTTCTGAAATTGTTTCAGATCCACTATCATGTGATCATCATCCGGGACTATGGCATCCTATGGAGGGGAAGTGGGATTGTCTTGTGACTATGCCAGCTGAGTGTCGTCTTGATCATCAGCTAATTGGCCTTCCTCCTCTTCCTCAGGTATGGCTACCATAGTGTGGAATGGCGAAACTGGTGGTAGCCTTTTTCCCCCGAGGATGGGGCAGTAGAGTGGTATTTGGGTGGTGCTAAGCAATCCAAAAGTGCCCACTGTGGTTGGTAATGTGGCTGTGGGTAATACCAGCTTTGGAGCCACTGTGGGTGATACAGTCATGGGGTGTAGTGGTGCCCCTGTAGAGATGAAGTGAGGGATGCCTGCTGGTAGGAGAAAGCACTTCTCTCATAGATCTCTCTTGAGCATCCCATCCCTGCTTTGGTGGTGAGTAGGGTAGGTACGGTGCCAGGGACTGTTCCCTGGATGTAGGCAGGGGAGGGGAGTCATCTGTGCTTGGTATAGTTCCCCCTTATCCCTGTGCAGTCTGAATCTCTTTCAAAGCCCGTCTGCTTAGCCTGCGGGGTAAAGTCCTGCTGTAATCAAGGCAGCGGAGAGGTAGGTACACTAAACAGCAGCACCGAGGCTTTGCATGTCCGCTGTGTAGGTGGCACCACTTCTCTAGCTGGTGCCGAGCTAAGTGGTGGCACTGAGGGTTTGCAGGGTCGCTTTGAAGCCGGTTCTGCTGCTTCATCCAGTGCCGCACGTGCCTGTGCCTGTTTCAGTACTGGAGGCTGCCTGTGGGTTTCTCCCAGTGCGGGGAGAGATCTCGCAGCTTGTCTGTGCCTGGCTGGTGCTAAGGCAGATGACTCTGAGGCTGCCACGTCCCTCCCATTCATTCTGGGGCACGGAGCTGGCGGCAGGGATCTGGCAGAGGAAATCCTGCTCCTTTGATGTGCCTTTGGCATTAAAGAGGCTGATTTGCACCTGGGGATCTGTATCTTTTGATCCTGCACAGCCTCTGCCTGGGGCTATAAAGCCCCCTCCATACAAGACATACAGAGCCTAAACTCTGTCCTCTCGCTCTTACAGGCAGGGTTTTACAATGGTAACATTCCTGAGGATTGTGTGCCTCCCCCCAAGCATTTGACACAGCAGCTGTGTCTGTCTGTGGCTGGCATAGGATCGCTGCAGCCACCGCACTTTTTAAAGCTTTGTGAGGCAGGCATATTCCAGCAGTTGGCAATTGGGCTGAGGGAGAGGGAAGATTAGTGAAGCTGCTGACTCCCCACAGCTGTTGATGGGAGGGTGTCAGCTTGTGACGGTGCGGGTGTTTATTCTTTGAGTCAGGTGATACAAGAGCAGCGGCTGTTTCCCTGCTTGATTTGTTTGCCTTTGAAGTGGTAATAAAGTATCAAGGATCCAAGATGAATTGAGGTCAAAGGGTTGAACAGAACTGGTCCCAAAACAGACCCCTGCGTAACCCCATTGGTTATGCCTTTCCAGCAAGATTGTGAACCGTTAATAACTACTCTCTGAGAACTGTTATCCAGCCAGTTATGCACCCACCTTATAGTAGCCCCATCTAAGTTGTATTTGCCTAATTTATTGATAAGATCATGCCTTAAAGTCTAGGTATACCACGTCCACTGCTTCTCCCTTATCCACAAGACTGTTATCCTATCAAAGAAAGCTATCAGATTGGTTTGACATGATCTGTTCTTTATAAATCCATAGTGGCTGTTTTGTACCACCCTATTATCTTCCAGGTGTTTGCAGATGAATTCCTTAGTTATTTGTTCCATTATCTTTCTGGCACAGAAGTTAAACTGACTGGTCTGTAGTTTCCTGAGTTGTTCTTATTTCCTTTTTTATATTTGCCCTTTTCCAGTCTTCTGGAATCTCTTCCATGATTTTTCAAAGATGATAGCTAAAGGCTCAGACACCTCCTCTATCAGCTCCTTGAGTATTCTAGGATGACTTGCAGACATCTACATTTTCTAAGTGTTTAACTTGTTCTTTTATTTTATCTTCTAAACCTACCCCATTCCTACCAGTATTCACTATGTTAGGAACTCCATCAGAGGGTTGGAATAGACCTCAGGAGGTCATCAAGTCCAATTCCCTGCTGAAAGCAGAGCCAACCCCAACTAAATTATCTCAGCCAAGGCTTTGTCAAGCTGGGACTTGTGACTTAGACCTATCCATCGCATCTCAGGGAGCATTTCTTATTTTCCAATGAGTGAGCAAGTCGCCTTCTCAAGCCTCTTTCCTACCTCACATAATAATGAAGCAAAGAAGCTAAAAAAAATGGGGGTACATGGGACAGCTCGTTAAAATGGAGTACATGGGACACTGTAGGATCACCATTGTCAACACTGGTGAACACAAATTAAAAGATAAAAAAGTCCTACCTTTGTTTTGTAAAGCTCAAGTTCATTATCAGTTATTCTCCATGGCTCATCTTCTTTCAGTTTTTCTGCAATGTCTTGATCTTTATCGTCTTCATGAAGTCTGTATGGCTCAATCATTTCTTCAAAAGCTGCAATACTAGAAAGATTTTTAACCAAGAGTTATTAAAAATAGGAAAGAGTATGTGTCAACTGTTTGCGTGGAAAAATCACATTCTAAAATAGAAAAGTCAGTCCTTGTATGATTTGTGGTTATTTACCAGAAGTAATTTCAACTGAAATTCTCATTCCTTTGGTACTAGAAACCCCTACTAGTTTGTAAAAGAAATAAATAGCACCTATGAATATTAATATTTTAAACAGATGTTAACTATCTTAAACTGAATACTATGGGGACTGTCTTTTGAAATCTAAAAGTTAGACTAACCAAATCAATTTTTTATGTAACAATGATTTACACTGGAGATAGTGCCACACTGGCTTCACTTCCATTTAAAAATGTAAGAAAAAAGTTGAAGAAAATATGAGAATGATAAGCTTCAAGAGGGAGAGTATCATCCTTCCAGAAATTTGATAAGGAAATGAAGAAGCGTAAAAAATAGCCTTCTATTTAACTCAAGGAGATGAGAGAGAATCAGAGTTCAATTACGTTTTAATTACAACGTTTAGATCACACACAACACATGATCTCAGAGTTAAAAAAAAAAAAAAAAAAAAAATCAAACTCACTCCATGGGTCACCAGTATTGAAAGAAAGCAAAAAGAAAATCCACATCTGTTATCCTGCAGTCACTTAGAACTCTATTTCTGTGGATGCTTCGCAAATCAGTAAACTTCACAGCAGCATGTATCCTAAATACAAATCAGTAAACTTCACAGCAGCATGTATCCTAGATACAACACTTAGGGTACGTCTACACTGCAAGCTTCTTTCGAAAGAAGCTTTTTTGAAAGATTTTTCGAAAAAGCTTCTTTTAAAAGAGAGCATCCACACCTCAAAACCAGATTGAAAAAGCAATCTGCTTTTTTGAAAGAGTATCCAGACTGCATGGACACTCTCTCGAAAGAAAGCCCTGATTGCTATTCACAGAATGGCCACCAGGGCACCTGTGCTTTTTTTGATTGCCTCTTCTTTCAAAAAAATGTACCTGTTCTGCATCCACACACGCCTTTTTTCAAAAGAGCTCTTTCAAAAAAGGCGTTCTTCCTCGTAATTTGAGGTTTGCCAATGTCGAAAAAACTCCCCACGCTCTTTCAATTTAATTTTGGAAAAATGTGATTGCAGTGGACGCAGATGAAGTTTTTTCAGAAAAAAGGGCAGGTTTTTTTGAAAAAACAATGTAGTCTAGACATACCCTTAGGTTGCTGGAACTCACTATTGCACTAGGCATGCTTCTGACCCGATTGGGCTATGAAAATGTGATAACAGACTGGTGTACACCATCTAGAGATTTCTGTAAGACTTCCAACAACTCACTTAGGGTAAATTTAAATCCATTTTGTGCTACCTACTGCACAGGCACAAATGGGATTTCATAAGGCAGAAGCCCTGGCCCAGCACATTTATCATAGATGGGTCATCCTGCAGGGATACCTAAGCTCTACCATATCAGGGACCAATTTGGGAATTTGTTCAAGATGTGCCTAGCAAGTTAATCTGAGATAAAAAATGTCCTGAAGTGTACACCTCAAGATAGAAAACTAAATGACCTGATTACTAGAAGGATTGAGCAGTTCCTCCACTGGCTGAATTTTAAGACTCTGCACCTTAGGCACCTTTGGGTTAAGGTCCAGAGAAGAGTAACAAAAATTATTAAAGGTCTAGAAAACATGAACTATGACGGGAAGACTGAAAACTGGGTTTGTTTAATCTGGAAAGAGAAGACAGAGGGAACATGACAACAGCTTTTTAAGAATCTAAAAGGTTGTTATAAGGAGAAGGGAGAAAAATTGCTCTAAACTCCTGATGATAGGAAAAGGAGAAATGGGAGGTTGTGGCATCTCCATCATTGGATATTTTTTTAAGAACAGGTCAGACAAACAACCATCAGGGATGGTCTAGATGGTGCTTGATCCTGCCATGAGTGCACAGGACTGGATATCATACTCTCTCAAGGTTCTTTCCAATTCTATGATTCTACATCACTTTGTGCCAGTATCTTCTGCAAAGCCCTGAATATAACATACATGTGTCTAGCTTTACCTCCACCAACAGTCGTCATATCAAATCAGGAATTAAAGACAACACACCAGTAATAATCTAGAAAGCTATTATTTAGTTTGTTAATCTACAATATATTGTTTCAGTATAAATATTTTATCAAATTTCTGATAAACAATACTTATCCAGCAAAATAATGAATGTGTGCATTATAACTTATTTAGGAATTCTAGATAAATATTAACAAATCTACAAATAAACAAATTCTAGACAAATCCAAGCAGGTGCTGGAAAAAAACTGGGTTATATTACTCTGCTACAGAAATTTTCAAAGACATTTGGATATGTATTTTCTCTTTCAAACTGGACAAGATTTCAGGGTGGAGCTGATGTTCAATCTTTGGATCTTTTAATTCTTACAGGATATTCTATCATAAAATGGCACTAGTCTTTGGAGTCAACTGCAGTCATACAGATTCTTCAAGTTTGAGAAGTGAAAATATTTAATGATTCTTTGGATAAGAAAATTTCAGCAGAACTTGGATTTTCTCATGCATTTGCTGAGCTGATTAATGATGTGCACAGTCTGATCTTTAAATCAGTTTAGTGTTAGTATTATTTTGGGTTTTAAGATGTAGAAAGGTACAAATAAGATGAAAATATACAAGTTTTATCTTTGTTCTAGTTTTATCTTTGTTCCTTTTTTATTTAGGATAGATTTATGCTATTAACTCATTCTGTTGAAATTGGAATGTAGCACTTGTGGTATCTGAGATTCTAAAAGCTTGGGCAAAAAACGGCTGCAGGCCACATCCAGCCCACTAAGCTACTAAATCCAGCCCGAGGATGCTGCGGGGAGCCCTAGGCAGGTTCCCCGCTTGCCTCACCTCACCCGCATGCCAGTCAGAAATGTGGCTGCAGGGCCATTTCACTTTAAAAACTGAGCCCAGAAGGGGAGGGAAGAAAACTTTAGGAGCTGCTCCTGCCCCCAGCACAATCCCATTGGCCGGCTTCTGGCCAGAAACTGGCCAATGGGAGCTACCTGTTTCAATAACAGGCAGCCACAAAGCACAAGGGGCTTGTAATTATTCACAGAGCACATAGCTACAGCCTATGAGGTGGCTGAGCAGACAAGCAGGCTGATTCAGGAACGGGCTGCTGGCTGATAAGTCTGGCAAAAGCCTGCCTCTGACACCCCAGCCCTTCCATTCACCAACCCTCTGCTCACCACCCACTCCTGCCCTGCTAACTCCACATAGCAAAATCCTCCGCCCCCCTTCTGAACCCAAATCCAGCACCCCAACCCTTTGCCCCAAATCACAGTCTGTTCCTGCCCTAGTTCACAACCCAAACCTCCTGCACCTCCTCCTGTACCCCAATTCCCTGCCCTAGGTCATAATCCAACTCCCTGCACCCCAGTCCAGTGCCCCAAGTCACAACTCCCTCCTTCACCAAGCTCCCTTCTGTACCTAACCTCCATCCCAGACTCTGAACTTCCTCCATTAATATTAAGGAAGAATGAGGCTCTCGACCACTTTCCAAATTCTTGGAATGGCTCTCAATCGAAAATTATTGCCCACCCTTGTTCTAAACCAATATTAAATTCTTGGCACTAGGAACTCACCAACCCAGCTAGTTAAGTTATCAAAATACATATGCTGAATTAAATACTGTTTTTTATGTTACAATAGAAAATTATGAATGTAACTAATAAGTGATGTGTCCTTCTGGAACATTTTTCAACTCACTTTTCCTTCTTTGGCTTTGTATTAATATCTCCAAGGACCATGATGTCTGAGAAGTCTATTCGAAATTTGCTGAGCAGAGTAGCCATCCTAAATTTCAAAGAAATATAGATATATGTTGTTTTATAGTATATTTTGTCAGTTAACATTTTTATAGGGCTAAATAACAATAAGTATGTTTACAAACTAGACATTGACATTCTCTCAAAAAGCCATCCAATTTGGAACTACACGGGGAAATGAAAGGATAACAAAAGTACAGAGTGAAGCAGGGCAAGGGTTTCAACAAACTCATACAAATACTCTGTCTAGATACTGGCATATAGCGTTTAAAAGTATGTTTAAAACAAGATATACTGAGACCCTGCCCACACACACACACACACACACACACACACACACACACACACGGGAACACAAATAAATGTTTAGTTTATAATGTTTATCATTAGAAGTTGAGATTTCTTGCAGCAGAAAATGATTTCAGTCTCCATATGTTTAAGAGCAATTCAAACAAAAATACTATTTCATCAGAAGATGCAGAAAAAGATAAGTATAGCAGAGTTCATGTACAGGCAGTCCCCGGGTTACGTACAAGATAGGGACCGTAGGTTTGTTCTTAAGTTGAATTTGTATGCAAGTCAGAACTGGTACATATTGTAGGGGAAACTCTAGCCAAACATTTCTCCAGAGCTCAGTTTTATGCTCCCACACCTCACTTCCCTCAGTCCTTTATTCTCAAGCTGAGGTGTCTGCTGAGAAAAGCTGCTCTGCGTCTCCCTGGTCTGCTGGGGGGGAAGCAGCTAGTGCGGGGTTGCCTCACCCTGTTTGTAAGTAGGGATCCAATGTAAGTTGGATCCATGTAACCCAGGGACTGCCTGTACTTAAAGCCACCATTTTTGGACAATGGAATCATTCTTATCATGCCAAAAATATTCACATACCATAACTTGTTTGTGTACCAGACAGCTGTTTTACAGAACAGAACCAAACCAACAAACTTTCCCAACTTTTACTTCCCATTACTAGAAACGCAGCATTAATTTTCTTTAAGCGTTAGGGTTTACAGAAAAATAATTAAGGAAGCTTTATAAAAAAAAATCACTTGCTGTCCCAAGACAGACATGCTATAGTAATGCTCTAAGACAGAAGTGGGCAATAATTTTAGAAGGGCAAAATTATATAACACTTGACAAATTTCTGAAGTGGCCCAGGGCCACTCCAGAAGGAATGGGGCCTTGGGCATAAGGGGCAGAAGCAGTACACTTCCATATTCCCCCACCCACAGACCCTTATTGGTCTGGGGGTGGGGGAGCACATGAAATCTTTGCCATGGCCCCAGAGAGAACCACCAGCTATTCTGAACAGCTAGCAGTTCCCTCCAGGCACCTCTGCCCCTGGCAATAGGGGGAGACTTTGCTCACTGCCCCGTTCCTAGGAACTGATTGGCCCACTGAGGCTCTCTTGCCCAACCTTGCTCTAAGAACTAGCTGCCTTCACATAATCATATCAGGATGCATCTGAGCATCAGGAACTGTCTGGAGAATAGTAAGCCCTGGGGCCATACAAATACAAGTATTTGATGCCATACAAAGGTAACAGAGGTTATAAAAAGAGTGGTCTCAACCTCTCAGTCCTTCCACTAAATTCAAGAGTCCTATGAGAGAAGAACTCTAAGGAAAAGAGGAGAATGGGAGAGAATTGAGATTATAGAGAGCTCCTCAAGAGCCTATGCTAGAATATTATTTTTCCTTCTTCTCCAAGTGGACTCTCTCTATTCCCACTTGTGAAAGTTTAAGCAACAACTGGCAAACTGTCCTCCAAAAATAAACAGAATGCCACAAAAGACTAGTGATGTGTTAAGACTGTGTACAGAATTTCAGGTAGCAGCCTGCCTTGAAAATATCTATAATGGAAACTTTGATATGGCATCAATGCCACTGTAGTTCTGACAAGAGGGATCTTTAAGATCCTAACATCTCTTTTAGCTTCTTGAATGCCTTCTTATTTTGTTTAAGGATATAGACAGTAAGGGTGCAAAATTTACCACTTCCTTTTATAAGTATGTCCCCATCTGGTCGGACATTAGGAAAAACTTCCTAACTGTCAGGGTGGTTAAACACTGGAATAAATTGCCTAGGGAGGTTGTGGAATCTCCATCACTAGAGATACTTAAGAGCAGGTTAGACAGACATCTATCAGGGATGATATAGACAGAGCTTGGTCCTGACATGAGGGCAGGGGACTGGACTTAATCTCTCGAGGTCTCTTCCAGTTCTAGTATTTTATGATTCTATCTCCAACTACATAATCACATTCTTCGGTAACCACGCTCAACTGTTCTGTATTATTTTTTAGGGTAAGGGAACAGGAAAAAAACCCCTATAAATAATGCGCCACGGTTCAGTAGACCTGTCTTAACTTAGAGCCCTTTTCTAACTAAGGTAAGCAAGGACTGCCAATTTGGGTCCCTAATTATTTACCATATTAGATGAGATCTGACACCTATCAAGATGTTGCCCTAATCTAATAAGACTAGTCTAACCTTGCAGAAGTGGGGTAGTTAAGACATTATCATAATGGTTCTCAGACTTAGCTTTGTGGATGCAAATTAATATTTACAATCTGTCTGGTAGGTCATATTACTTTCAGTTCCCTTTAAAAAACACAGCAAAAAAACAGGGCCAGCTCTAGGTTTTTTGCTGCCCCAAGCAAAAAAAAAAAAAAAATTTTGGCCACCCCCCTACCCCACCAAAAGCCACCACACACACACGAAAAAATTGTGGGGAGGGGAGGGGGGAAGAGAGAAAGGAACCAAAATCAGCAGGGCTAGGCATTGCCAGGGGCGGCGCCAGCTGCTTACCTGAAATGCTGCCCCTGGCAAAGTGCCACCCCAAGCACCTGCCTGATTTTCTGGTGCCTAGAGCCGACCCTGGCAAAATATTTGCCAAATTGAAAAAACAAACAACAGTAGTAAAAGCAAAGTTTTCTATATGATTTACCTTTAAGTGGGGTGGGATTTTGGCTCATTTAACTGAGTGAAGTGAAAAGTGCTCTGTAACTGGGAGAGGGGAAAGATGAAAACTGCAGCAAAAAAAGGGGCAGGGTATCACTGACTAATCACCTGTGAATGCAGGGTTTAGACAGGAACAGTACAGTGCTGGGAGTCATCCTGTTGCAGAGGCTGAAGCAGGACCACTTTACCTCCCTTCTAGGTGGTTAAAATACCATGTTTTGTCAACACCACCTGTGGGCATAATGCTGGCCAGTCCTTTTCTAGGGGGGCTGGGAAGGAATTTTTTCCTTACCACCGCACTGGCTTGGGTGCAGTTGAGTTTTTTTTCACCTTCCCACATTTGCATGACGTGCAGTAGACTATATGTCACAAGTTATTTAAGTGTAAGGCAGATTCACAGTGCAGGTACTCCACAGGAAAGGTATACAGTGACAAGGGATGTAATAGGATAACCATTTAAACAGTTAACTAATAAGCCTGGGCTTATCTTTTACCATGATCGGTTACAGGCAGGTTACCACACCGCTCCCAGGGAGCCAGCTGCCACCCCATGCTCCTGGCTTTGAATCAGCTGCAGGCAGGAGCCAGCTGCTGCCCTGCACTGCTACCTCTGATACAGAAGCAGCAGTGCGGGCTGGCAGCTGGCTCACCAGAAGCAGGGCCAGCAGACAGGAGCTAGCTTAAAAGCCAGTTTCTGGCATGCCCTGGCTCCCAGGAAGCTGGCTGGCTATGCAGTATAAAGCTGAGCCTGCAGCATGTAACAGTATAACTGCTGAGATTTTCACCAGTTACACAGTTACCCAATTACCTGCTTTTTAACGTCCCTAAACAGTGACTGAATAAATGGTGTGGAAAAGAACTTAGAAAGAAGTGTTCATTAAAGAGGAGTGTTTGGGGACTTCTATGATCAGTACAGCAGGGAGCCAACCCCCATTCTTACAGTCCACCTTTTAACCCTCACATGAAGGGGGGTGGATGATAAGGTTCCAGCAATGAATTTGCTGGTGGAACTGGGATGGAAAAGAGAGAGGGGAGATGTTAAGAGACCCCTGGATAATTATTAAATAAAACATGAGGTTTGTCTGACTACATTGTTATCTGCTTGGTAATCCTAGACATCTAATAAAGTTATGGCCTGATTAAACCCAAGTCAAATGTTTCCTGTCTACTTATACTGAAAGAAGGACAATACACCACTAAACTTAAAGTAACTTAAAATGTTTCAAATGCTGTTATTTTAAAGAACATGATGATATGCTAGAATCATGAAGTATATAAACTAGTACTAATAAATTAACATTTATGTACCTCCCAATTTAAGTGCAATAGGAAAAGGTCATTAAGTAAGAAAAACGTTTTCTTATTGTATTGTGCAAAAACGTATTGTGCATGATTATAAAATTCCATGATATCATAAATGTTTGATTTAAAACTTAAGGTTAACTTACGCTCTCCTGTCATGATCTATCCGGTTAATTTTTCCACCAATAAATACTCTGATCTTACAGTCTTTCCACTTTTTCTTCGTTGTCAGAAGATAAGGAATCAACAATGTCAAACCTGCATTAGACCGTAACATTTAGGAATAGATTGAGCATAGAAAATTGACATTGCATATTAACTATTTAATAGTGCAAATCTACAATTTATATGGCATGAATGATACCTATTACCAAGTGCTTTTATCATTACAAATTATCTTACCCCCATCATCAAAAAGCCACCAGACATCAATGGTATTTTTGCCTTGTTTCTTCTGAAACTGAGAGCTGGCATCAAGAAGTCTTTGGTCAGTCAAGTTTAAAGGAGTTCGTGTGCCTTTCGAGTCTAGCAAATTGAGAGGAAGGAAATTTGTAAAAGATTTAAGCAACAGTTGCTTCTCCCCTGCTCCCCATCTCAATCTCAGCTTTGTAGTATTACTGGTTTTCCAATGTTTGCATTTTTAAAACAATTCTGACTCGAAAATATTTTCATATTTCATTGCTGTTCCATTAATCTCTCATACTGAGAAGACCAGCTGCTGAAAAGTGTGAATAGCCCCATTCATTTCAATGTGAGAAGCTAAGAATAACATTGTTAACCATTTCATTGCTTGTGAAAGCATGAAGTTAGCTGCATAGTCTACTGAGTATTCCTCCTCACTATCACAAATCAAGGAGCCCAGAAAAGCAAGTGAGCCCTGCTAAGGAATCCAGCAGACCTCATTGACACATTCAAACTTTGAGGTAGGACCACGTTTCAGGAAACCTCATAAGCATGCACAACCATGTTTTGAACACACACACACACACACACACACACACACACACACACGTTCCTGTCAACTGATGTGAAGAAAGCTTATTTTGTAGGAGAGCTTAGAGTACCACCACTGTTTCTTCCACCACAATTTGACCCCTGAATTTCCTAATCCAAGTTGAACAGACATCCATGATACCAGTTTACGGTTGACACTCTATACAGAAAGGAGTGAGGGAAAAAAAAACAAACTGAAGGTAGCAGTATGGAAAAAAATGGATAGTAACAAAAAAAGATGGAAATGCCTGCCTTTTTTCAACAGTGGTTGTGTTGGAGCCTTGCCATCTTCTTCCTCCTCTGGAAGATGTTTAAAAAATACAAAATAAAGGTTAATATCCTTTGTGGTATTAAAGATGATAAAAGTAGCGTGCACACTTAGAAACTGAGGAATAAAATAAATCAGCACACCATGAGAAAAGAACCACAACGTGGATGAGGTCTACTGTACACTGCAATGAGAATTAGTTCTATGAAATGTGTTAATACTTCACATAGCCAGAGGGTTTGTCTTTTTTTTTTTAAATAAAGACAAGAAAATCATTTTATTCATATATAGAGGAAATAAGTCTTGAAGAGTCATTTTAAAATGTTTTCTTAATGTGCATTTAAATTAAATATTCAAGTTTAAGGCCAATATTTCTTAACCTTCATCGTCTTAAAGTTAAGCCTGCATATACAGATTTTACCTCATTTTCAAAAAGTTCGGAGTGCCTACTGTTCTCATTACATCTACAAAAAGCAACACGAGCTTTTCATTTAGGTGCCCAAGATTCTGAAGCCTTACATTATGCATCAAGGTTTTACAATTTTTGCCTACACTTTCACTACTCAAGTCATACAAGATAGTGTAAATGCCTGGAAAGTCTAAGATGAAAAAAAATACTATTGTAATGCAACTATGTAAAAAGAATGGTCCAATCTCACAGCTAACTAGGAAGTTACCTTTATGCAGACCAGGAGTTTTTTCACTGGATGATGGAGAAAAAGCCTTAGATGTGTCTGTATCAGACTTTTTGCTATAATCCACATTTACTACAACATCCTTTGAACTTGGTGATTTCTCTTGGGAGGATAGTAATTCTTCTGTTAAGAGATAAACAATTAATACTGACAATTTTTTATGTAAATATTAAATATGCTTTTAGCTTGTAAAATTATGATTTATCGATAACTAATAGATTATAAATACAGAACTCTGGAGAAAAGCAAATGTTGCTGCAGTTCATTAAGTTGTACAGTACATGCCACGTACACAAAAATTCTACCTCTGAAAATAAGGAATTATTTTAGTTTAGTCCCTGAATTATACTTTTTCAAATTCTATAGATATTGTAAATCTCTGCACAAACACACACGCTACCTCTGAAGAGATACAGCTAATTCACCTCTATGGAACTGAAGAAAATAAGGGTCTTGAATCATTCACATTGTGCCAAAGTGTTGGTGTGAGAAGGGAACTGAAACATGGAGTTGTTAGTATGATATAAATCCTGAAAATGTTATGCTCAATATGTATTCCAATCTTAGCATTTTTCCAAAAATATTAAGGTGCCCCAATATCATGTTTCCACAAAGTTGCTTGCTGAAGATGGCTTGTCCAAAATCCAGTGAATAAGAATATATCTCCTTTCAGCAGACAAGTTCAGGCAAAGGCCTTTTGTGACAGAATAGGATACTAACAGAGGTAGTCAACTCGTGATGTAATAGAAGGAGGTACAGTAATGCTAAAAATCTGGTCAAAACTGGATTTTTCAGCCCAGAAGTTATATCAATTAAGTCAGCAATGGGTCCAGACTTTTGAAACTGCCACCTTAAGTTTGAGACCAGTGGTAAAACTGTCAGGAATGTATGATCCCTGTCCTGAAGTATTACAGTGAAGGGTGGCAGAACTGCCTATTAACATTGCCCTACACTTTACATTATAAGACGTAGTTTTCAGTTGCTTATAACTTTGACAGACTAATTGTTTGGGTTAAAGTTTTCAGTTGCTTATAACTTTGCCAGACTAATTGTTTGGGTTAAAGGTTTTCATGCCAATTTTCCCACTAATTTCAGCCTGAGGCATGGACAAGTTTTAGCCAACATGGTTCAGTCACTTTCAAGTAGTGAAAAATGGGTTGTTTTGCCCATGTTAATTCTATTAAGCTTTTATTTGAAAATCTTGATTGGCCTTCTGCTTTGAAATGGACTTGAATTTTGCCAATGATTAACAAAAGTATTTAAGTTGACTAAATATTGAAAGTAATTATAAACACTAAGACTGTGTCTACATTGGCATGATTTTGCGCAAAAGCAAGTGCTTTTGCACAAAAACTTGCTGCCTGTCTACACTGGCGGGGAGTTCTTGCGCAAGAGGCCAATGTAGACAGGCAACATGAATTTCTTGAGCAAGAAAGCCCGATGGTTAAAAAGGCCATCGGAGCTTTCTTGTGCAAGAGAGTGTCTACACTGGCACGGATGGTCTTGTGCAAAGGCACATGCCATTGTAGACGCTCTCTTGCACAAATACTCTAATGCAAAAACTCTTGCGTTAAAGAGTATTTGCGTAAAATCTTGCCAATGTAGACGTAGCCTAAGTCTCTATACTTGGTTTTTAGGCATAACAAATAGTTTACACAATTACTGAATGGATGTCCATAAAAGTGTAAAATTTGGCTGTTCTCTCTTTCTTTTATAAGATGCAAAATAAATCTTACCTTGTCCCTGAAGGTGAGAAATATCCAAACCTTCTTTTAAGCGGATGACAACTACACCATACTGAATGTCAAAGGCATCACTATAAAAGGATAAAAAAAAGTTGCATTTTTGTCTTGTTCTACTTATTTTTCAAAACTACGGCAATTGAGATTTTTCTTTTGGACTTAAGCTTCATGTGTATACGTTGTACTTCTCCACTTCAAGTCCCAAACTGTTAAGCCACTTCAGAAGACTAAATACCATCTGCTGAAATATAATGGACAATGGACAGCAACAGTCTCAATTTTACTTCCTTTCTATATTGCGAAGACTGATAAAATGAAATTAAAAAAAAACATTCTAAGCTCCATGGGAAAGGTGAAAGCATGTGGAAAATTTACATCTTTTTAGTTATAAAATATTTTTGGACTTCTAGTTAAAAGAAATTGCCTGTATAAGAGATCTCCTAACATGACAACTACAAATTCCAGAGAGGCCTCTGAAAACTGTGGGCACTGAAAAACATTTTTAAAAGAATGCACAATTAATGATTGCATTGTGCAAGGAATTTAATGTTAACTATTTTTACATATTATAGCATTAATAATTAAGAAGTCAGGTTTCAAGACAAGTTCTAACACTGGTTTCCATTATGTGTGAGGCCCTATCAAATCACAGTAATAATTATTTACATCTAATTTATCCCTAACTGTCTTCTAAGAGCCCAGTAAGCAGTGGTAGTGTTGGTAATGCTGCTAGACAATACTTACCTCCCATGGGTCAGCAAATACTCTGCTTTGGCACCAGTCAGGTCCCAAAGATGCTGGACTAGAGAGGTTCAATCTGTACCAATCCTCCTCCCTTCCCCTCCCCCCCCAAAACACATCTAAGAGATGGGCATCTTCTCTGCTGACTAACATCCTCAGAGTAACAGATTATCTTTAAGTACCATGGTACAACTTCAAAATCAAAAAAAGATCATAAAGAGGGGGGAAAAAGAGCATCACAAATAGAACAACTCAAAGGCAAAGAAATGCAGAGCAGGTTTCACCTAGAAACATTTCCAGTGTTTTACAAGACCAGTCGGGTGAAAGTCAGGAAGAAACACAGTCAAACTGGAAAATGGCAGAGGAAAATAGTGTGCTAGCAAAGAGGGCAGAGAAAAAAAACCCATGCATGAGTTACATCTGGAACATGAGCAATGACTGATGAAAAAAAGCTCTTAAGGCAAAAACCTAATAGTCATGGGTGGCTAGAAATCCAGCCACCCAAGGAAGCTAGTCCCTGGCCCTTTTTCTACGACCTCTCTCTCCCATAGTAGCACAAAGCACCCCCCGTCATGCTCCTAGCACAGAGGACTCCTCCAGCATCCAAGTCGCTGTGGGGAGACATGCTGGTCTGGGAATGAGGCCACGTTGGCAGTATGGGAAGGCAAAACCTCCCCTTCTTATGATACCCGCTGCCCATGAGAAGTGTCAACAGATAGAACTATTTGAGGCTGATGCAAGATACAGATAAACTTACGAAGAAATAAAAGAAGAGATGAAGGCAAAATAGTATTGCCTAGGTGAAGGAGAAGGCTGCAGAGGCAGCAGCACTGAAGGGAAACAACAAGCAGCTCTACACAATAGTGAAAGAACAAGGCTGCCAGAGGTTATGTCCATCAGGGACTCGCCACAGACAGATGTTGAAAATGCATGATGAAAAAGCCAGAGGCTGGAAAGATTGCCATTCTATATTAAACTATTCATAGCCACTGATGACGCATGGGTTCAAGAGAAATGCTAACACTTAAAGCAGAGGGATCAAGAACACTTGATGAAATTAAACCCATCAACAGAGGCCTAACATCAAGGAAAAGCTCCTGCAGTTGCCAAAACTGAAGCAGAGGTACTAAAGGTGGCAGGCAAACTTCTATCTGAGCAGTTAGAAAAACTAACACGGGAGAGAGAACAATTACCACAAGACTGGAACTGCCCAAAAGGGTATATTAGTGCACCAACTAGACAGTTAGTAATATTACAATAAAGGTTTGGGAGCTCCATTCAGATAGATAACACTGTGAACACATTCAGTCTTCAACAGATCATTGGAGAAAAAAAAACAAAAAAAACTACTGCTTGGCAAAAACCTCTTTCTTAAAGTTGATAAAAAGTATTCAATAGTGTCCTCAGAGAAACTCTTGAGTATTACTCAAACTATGGGATCTCAGGCAAGCTGATAAACCTCTTCTTATGTTGATGTGATGGAAGCAGATGTGCAATAAGATCAGATACAGACTCAGGTAAGTAGCTTGATATTGCAACTAGAGTTTGATAACTGTGTTAGTAGCTTGATATTGCAACTAGAGTTTGATAAAACACACTTATCACCAATTCTCTTTGCATTGGCAATAGAGGGGGTGATAAAGCAAGCAATCATCATAGATGGTGTAAAATGAATTAACAGATAAGTTATGTGACCTTTACTTTGCAAAAAGTGCCTTATTAAATATGTGGAACAAAATCATTGTACTTAGATATAGAACATTAAATAAAAACCAAGTTTATGAAGATAGGAAACTAGACAACAGATGCCAAGGTATATATAAATGGGGGAAAACTGAATAGGTAGAAGAATTCTGCTATCGTTTGGAACATGATGACATCTGAAGGTAGAAAAATGTATTAACTAGTGAGTAACCACAATCAATGGTGGAACTTTACTGCCTGATATGTCCACAGGAGGAATCAGAATTCAAAAGGTAAGGTCTTAAGTGAGTTACCAGGCAAAATCCTTGTCTTGCTGAACTCAATGAAATTAAAATTTCACCTATTCTAGCTATGTAAATAAAAACCCAAAGGTGACCCTTTTTTGAATTTATTATTGATGTTAGTTTATTAAGGAAGATTACTGCCCTATGACTTGAAAATATGACTGGTAGATGTAAGTGTGAAGTTGCAAACTGAGTGCATTGCCAATCAGAATTCACTTTTAACTCTGGAGTCAATGTGTTTCACAAATGAAAAAGTTCTAAACAGAATTATTCTATTATACAATTGTCTCTAACTCTGCTTTACCTGTTACTCTGCCGAGATTTCTCTATTTTAAATTCAGCTATTTACACAATCTAGCTCAGCACAAGAGTTCCTACAGCCACAAGCAATTTCAACCAAAATAGTGGATAACAAAAAGTTTGTTTTCTTCATTTATTTCATAATCTTTGATGTTCCTAGTAAATTTAAAACCGTATTTCTCACAACTTCCTAAAATCTGTAACTTTGCCCTGTAATGTTCACTTCCTGCAAAGTAGCTGAAAAAACTGAGTAATAGAACCATAAACAAACTCTGCAGTTCCTGGAGTACATCTGTATTTCCCAGCTATAGTAGTAGGTTTTCCTGCAGCACAAGTTACCCTGTGAAAAATGCTTTTCTTAAGTTAGAATTCTCTCTCTTATAAAAGGGATTGACAAATTACCTTGGAATTTCCTGTTTCCAGTAGCTTGTAGGATATCACCCCATCCATTTTAGGTATTAAAAAAATTCAACTTAAAAGTTGTCATCCCTTTACTGTACTGAAACTTACAATACTTTAACTACCATCAGATTCACAGTTTCCAACTGAAGATACAAATCCAGCATAAAATGTTCCATAAGTCATTTTGCATAAATAGTTATATCAAGATTTATATTTAAGCTGAATAAGACATTAAAGGAAAAGTCTACTTTCAACAGAGAACATATTCTAATGCACTCAAGAGTCTGATACAAAACATTCACTAGTTCAAGCTCCAAAAATAAAATCAACCCTTGGAAGTGCTCTAGATATCAACTACTTCTGAAGCTAAACTAGGACTAATGCAGACTTATAATGTATTTAAAGTTTTTTTTTAAAGTATACTTTGCTAAAATCAGATGATTTCATACAACAAATCATTTGAAACTTCAAAAACTTCTGGGAAATCTTTTCATCCTACCCAGAAAATATATTGCTGATGTAACCTTTCCCTTCAGTTAAGAAAACAGACTGGGGAACCTACAAGATTGCCGGTCCTCTGGGCAATGTAGGGGGAAAGAGGAGGTGGCCTAGCTTCACATGCCTAAAATGGGAGGGGCTAGGGCTATGAAGGGCTGGCCCTCTGAGCTAGCTGGAATGTTTGGCGTGGGGCTCTGGAGCTGCTGCACGGCATTCCCACGGTGATTCTAGAGGGCCTGAGGCTCCAACTGCTACTGCTGCCACCCAATAGCCCCCCACCAGCACCGGTCGTCCCCATGGTGACCTGGCTCTGGCACTAGGAGGCTGTGGCTGGGAGCCCCAGACCCCTTAGAATCACCGGGTTTCAGGGCAAATGCCCCCACCATCAACAGGCCTCAACACATACTAGTCTACATGTTTATAGGCACAGTCAATCCTTGTGTGCAGTGCACACAAGCAAGTCAATTGGCCTGGAAGATTTTAATAAAGTAAAAGTTGACCATCAATAATATCTACCCACATTAAAGAACAACACTAGAGTACTAAATAAAGTACTTAATTTTGTACACTTACGCAGGAGATTTTAATATGAATTATTTGAAAATATAGAAACATTTGAAACCGTTCTTCACTCTTTCAAAAGTATTATTCTAAAAACTTTGATCATTAAACTTTTCTAGAGATACAAAAAGTTGTTAAGGTTATACACTAACACACACACACACACACACACACTCACGGAAAAACTATTCATCACTTTAAAGTCTAACAAGATGGTTTAATAGACAGACTTCTGGCCCACAAAAGCTCATCACCTATTAAACCATCTTGTTAATCTTTAAAGTGATACATACAGTAAGTCCCCGGGTTATGTCAATCTGACGTAAGTCGGAC